GTCTTCTCTGTAACCAGCTAGTTCTGTTCAGGATAAGAAAGAAGTGGGGCCTATAGGGAGCCTAAGTCACGCCCACCTACTTCCGCATCATGGGTCCCCGGACGAACGAAAAAATGAATTGGGCTCAAAACGCTATTTTCTAATTCTGCTTGTTTTGTGCGATGGATTTCCCATATGATGTCCGTGAATTTTAAAGACACATTTTGATATCAAGAACGTGCTTATTTTCTACCAGGGGGAAATGCTATTTTACGTTTTGTGTGAAAATAAGTCCAGAACTACAAATACGCTTCATGAACGTGACATCTTCGAAGCAGAGACGGAGAAAACTGAAGGAAAATGGCTGTAAGTTCAACAAACCTCCCACAGGAGGAAAGAACCACCATAAATCTGGTCATTTGGTAAGTAGCTAGCCTGGCAAGCCAGACTATATATTCACATATATAGCAACTATCAGACTTTGCAAAGCGAGAATTTGGTCTAGTTCACTAGGCTAGTAAGTAGCAGCTAGGCTAGAGGAGAGGAGATTATGTGATGACATCACATATGTGACATGCCGATTTCTGGTGTGCAGTCATGCTAATTACGAACTTTTACAAGCTAATAAATCTAAAGTACATGACAGGCATGGTCGAAACACCCATCATTACTTTTCATTTAAATTGCAGTACAACATATGTGCGATCCAGGGCGTAAGGCAAAGCGGGTTAGAAAATATCGTTTTTAGCCCCGTTGACTTGCATTCATTTTTTTGTTCTTCCGGGGACCCATGGTGCGGAAGTAGACTAAGGCTCCCTATTCCAGGACTCAGTCTGTGGTAGGGTGGGGTACATGCTGGACAGAAAGCGTCATGAACTTTTATCCATTGGTGTAAAAAAATCATTTGATATGGGGACATAATGCAGAACTAATAGCCACACAGAACCATTGTGCGCTCTCATTGCGCTCTAATTTGGCCTCCTTGGAAGTGGGACTAAAAAATAAAAGTGCATTTGAAAAAATATTTCATATGTTGAATCCTGTCAACTGCTGTTACATGTTAGATGTTCCTTTGTTTTAGCTGTAGTTTGTTACGTGGCACTCAAAAATACAATTTACCATTTTTCAGTCATTTATCTGATCACAAGACTACAACAGAAACAATCACATATAAGTCACAAAAAAGCCACTTACAGTATTCAACGTTCACAGAGGAAGGGCAGCGCTACATGAAACCAGTTTTAACCGACCAGGAATTCTTCACAAATTAAATAGGATTAACTAGTCAATTTATTTTTATTTTTTATTTTTTTCATTAAAGAAATTATGAGACAATATTGATGGAAACTTTAGCATGTTTATCTAAAGAAATTGTGAATAGGATTTAGAGCCCTGCACTGAAGCCTTAGGGCTTCTGGCCAATGACTGTGTAATTACCTCGGATACGGGCCGGGCGCCTTTATTTTTAATCGAATTCATAAAAAATACATTGAAACCCTTAAACGCAGCAGTAGAGCCCTGCGCGGGACTGTTTTCTTCATCCCGCTCCTGCTGAATTTCTGACCATTACCGCCCGCAACGTGTATGTCTACTCCCGCCCGCAACTGCAAAACTCTGAGAAATTATTACCTCACAATAAAAGAGATGTATTGAGTTTGCGTCCTCAACATGTCATTTTATAGGCTATACCAGGGTCGGCAACCAGTGGCTCTTCCATCCATCTGATGCGGCTCTCTGTGCTTGTAAAATAATGAATGGATATTTAAATAAAATGCTTTATATTTTACTGAATTAATTGTATGTCTGTAAGTAAATTCTATGTAAAGATTGTCTGTGTAAACCTGAACAGGCCCAACCCAGTCTTACTGTGAGACCGGGTTGATGCGTCACGCTTGTGCGTAATCATAGGCGCATTCTGAGCTGAAGAGGATATGAGATTCTGGGCTTCTCCTCAGACGGCTCCTGGATGCGTCGCCACATTGGAGACAGGAACAAGCACTATTCAGCCAAAGTTTCATAATCAGGGAGCATTTTCTAAGTGACAAGTCTCTCTGAGAGACAGGGTTTGGAAAACACTCGCTTCAGTGGGAGGAACCTTCCCGCATGCGCTCTGGTTCTGCGACACGCTCCAAGCCAATCTCCACAACTTCAGCTCGCTGTGCACATACGCGCTGACAGCGAGCTGCGCTGAGCAGTGTCCAGCTCAGATATTCAGATGGGAATCTTTTCTTGGGTGATTTAGCTACATCTGCGATGTGCGTAACAAATAAAATGTCAGTTCGTCTGCATGCGTCGGGGTAATTCTTTCTATTCTTTCTCCATCAAAATAAACCGTCAAATACGGGAACTATCCGGTCAACACAACAAAAGCCCTGCTTTTGACTTTTTTGTTTTCTTGTGAAAATTGTTGGAAAGAGATCAAATTTAACTTGATTACCACGAGAGCCAGTGCGCCGTCATCTCCGTGACGGTAAATGAGGGAAAAACAAATTGATCGGATCCTGCACGTATTTTAACACATTGGTCAGGATTGACACACTTTGTTTAGTTGGTTTAAAAAAAGTCGGGCTCGGGTCGGGCCAGAGAATCCTGAAAACCTTTTCGGACCGGGTTGGGCTGGGGCTCCACCCCCTCGGGCCGGGCTGGACACGGGCTCAGATTTTAGGCCCGTGCAGGGCTCTAATAGGATTCATGCAGTGAAGCTTTTTTTGGTGTGTGGGTTTTTTTTTCTAGTTAATTAGGAAGTGTCTGTTTTTATACTTTTGCTATGTTTCTTTTATTAATAATAATTTTAAAATGCAAGAAAATGATCTCATGGGAAAAATGGCCAATGAATGTTTCTTCAGCTGTTTTTGAATAACGTGTGTTTAATAACAAATGTCTTTTGAAAGACTTTATCAATTAATGTCAATGAATATAAGAGAATAATTTTATTGTTTTAGAAAATATGTTTGGTGGTTATTATAAACTGAGTGCTACCGCATAACCAACATTATGCTAACCTGAGTATCACCTCCCCTTATGGGTGTAATAAAATGTGGGCGTTGTTAAGACTAAACTGCACAAAACAATGCTAAAGCAATGTCACCGGCTCACATGAAATGAGCAAATCCCTATGAGAAAAAGCGGAAAGGAAATCAATTGAGGGCTGAAATGCACTCGCTTTTGTGCTCAAAGGTCAACTTTATTTTTTTATTATCTGTTTCGTTGTCTTTTTCTTCAATTTGTGAACTGAGGAGAAAGTTTCAGCTGAATGAAATGCACAAGCCAGGTGATTTGGTTCTGGGCGGTCTGTTTAAGGTCCACTACACATCTGTCTTCCCTGAATGGACATTTACTTCAGAGCCACAGCAGCCCATCTGTACAGGGTAGGTATCACACACACCTGAAATAAAAAATATATATATTAAAATGCACAATATATGCTTTGCTGAGAGCATTCATGGGATATAAAAATCCATCCAACTCTGATTTATGGTGAAAGGTTTTATAATTTATAATGTTTACCTAAATTAACTAAGTGCATGTGATGCATTATTAGAGTGTCACAACAGTTTACAAAATAAAAGCATTAGTTATCAGACTAATGTGACATTTTCGATTCCAGCTTTGATACTTTTGGGTTCAGGCGTGCTATGACCATGGCGTTTGCTGTTGATGAAATAAACAGGAGCCAAAATTTGCTTCCCAATGTGACCCTGGGATACAGCCTTTATGACAACTGTGGTGCACTCTTTATTGGATTCAGTGGTGCATTATCCCTGACCAGTGGAAACCAGGAGCAGATCCTGCTTCAGGAAAACTGTTCTGGGACCCCTCCAGTCCTGGGGATTGTTGGTGATCACTATTCAACGTTTTCCATCGCCATTGCCAACGTGCTAGGCTTATACAAAATGCCTCTAGTGAGTTAAATGTTTATCATTTTTTGATTATAATTCTACATTTTAACTAATATCAAAAGAGAGGATAATCTCAGTTTGTTTCTAGGTGAGTTATTTTTCCACATGCTCTTGCCTGAGTGATCGGCAGCGCTTCCCCACCTTCTTTAGAACAATCCCAAGTGATGCCTTCCAGGTGAAACACAATTATCACAGTTAAAGTTTTGATCTTGCTAAAGCTAAAGTTTAATTGGTGTATTTTATGAGAGGTGTAATACAAAACCACAAACCCCTAATGTGGATGTTTCCTAGGTGAGTGCCATGATTCAGCTTCTGAAACACTTTGGTTGGACGTGGGTTGGGCTGCTGGTCAGTGACGATGACTACGGGCTTCATGTGGCTCAGTCTTTCAAGTCTGACCTGCCTCGTTCCGGTGGAGGCTGTCTAGCCTACCTCGAGGTTTTGCCCTGGGACAGTGACCCAGGTGAACTTAAGAGGATAGTGAATGTGATCAAGACATCAACAGCTCGTGTTGTCATTGTGTTTGCCCATGAGATTCACGTGATTCAGCTGATGGAAGAGGTTATTAAAAGTATTAATGATAAAACAATGCATATATATATATATAAAGTTGTTTAGGTGATTTCTTTTTAAAAGTTGTGGTTTTCATCCATGTGGTGAAAGTATTTTATGATCTTGCAACATTTTTCAACCAAACCAAATTTGCTAATTTTAAATGTTGCCACAAAATAACACTTAAGTTTAATTTAGTCTGTAGAAGCAATGCACATTTGTACTTGCACAATCTAACAATATGATGAAGGATTACAAATGGAGCCTTTTAGCACAAAACAAGCTTAATATCTGTGAAAAAATCCTTTTTCCCCAACTGCACAATTTGTGCTCTTTTGAAATTTGAACTTGCTGTTTTTCATTTCGTCTCTGTAGGTGGTAAGACAGGATGTAACAGGTCTGCAGTGGATTGCCAGTGAAACGTGGACATCCGCAGCTGTACTACAGACAACAAAACTTATCCCACACCTAAGTGGCACATTGGGTATTGCCATCCGTCGAGGAGAAATACCGGGGCTGCGGAACTTCCTGCTGAAAATAAATCCTGTCCAAAATGATAGCAATAAAAACAACTTAGTAAGAGTTTCATCTGCATCTTTTATCTTTTATCAGTAAAACATCAGATACGATCGTGAAAGTTTTTTTTTTTTTGAGTGTGGGTTGTAATCTGTTTCAGGTGAGGCTGTTTTGGGAAAACTCATTTCAGTGTAAATTTGATCCAGCAGAATGGATGGAAGCAGATGGAGCTTTGTGCACTGGAGATGAAGATATTGAGCAGGTGGATAGTGAGTTTTTGGACATTTCAAACCTCAGGCCTGAATACAATGTTTACAAGGCCGTGTACGCGCTGGCGTACGCCCTTAACGACATGCTGCAGTGTGAACCAGGAAAGGGACCTTTCAGTGAGAACAGCTGTGCCACTCCGCGAACCCTGGAGCCATCGCAGGTGTGATGATTCATTCACAATCCGGTTTCATAGAAAAGCTGCTTCAACTTCAGGATGTTGTTTATGATATTTATGAGAAAAATCGCCTCATTCAATTTTGGCAAAATTTAACCCTTAAGAGCCCGAGCCCTTTTAACATAGAAAACAGTAATACATACATCAAAATTAATAACAAAAATTAAATAAAATCTTTTAAAAAGAACTTTAATTATTTTTGATACATGTATGGCTAGAATGTCACTTTGGGTTGTGATACTTGAATATGTGACTCAAGAAGCTATTTAGCAGATGCTTGAAGTGGGCTGTGAGACCAGGGTCGAGTACAATCTGCGAAAAACATGCAACATGTTTATGAAGATGATCCGACTATGCTCACCAGATGAATGGCCTGACAATTTTTGAGAAGTGTGTTAGAATTAAATCTGAAATTTCAAATCTTCTAGCAAACAAGCTTTAAAACGCACACAGTCACAGAACGCTCACCATACATGAACCATGGCCACCGGAAACGGAACCCACATTGCCAGAGGAGACGACAGCACTAAACACCAGTCGCCGTTTCTTACGTCCAAACATCTTTTGTTGCCCGCTACTTTAAGTGGCATTTTTCTATTTGATACTCTGTTAATTTGTCCTAAAGTTGAAGTGGTGGCAGCCGGCTGTTGCTCCTTCTCTGATGTTAATGAGCGGCGAACCTCTCACACCAGTGGTGCTCTGGTCCAAAATGCGTGAGCGCATAACGAGTGGAGGACCCAGGGAAGTGAGCACGTGTGGAGGCTCGGTGAAACCAACAACCAGATGGTCCAATCATTGCTTTCTGTCCGAGCCGTCTTATTGGCAAAGGATTTTAGACTAATGCAATTAATTAATGTTTATGCTTTTAATCTCCACAATATATTTATAGCTATACCACATCAGAGCATTGTTAAGAGGCATGAAAAACATAGGTTAAGCTTGTTTTCCAGATTTGCCATAGTAGCTTCAAATAAGTGACATGACAAGAGAAATGTAAATATCTTCGAGTGAAGCACACTAGTTTTCTACGGGGTGGAATAGGTGGGTTTTGTTGTTAGCGTGTCCACAATTATATAGAAATGTATCTACAGCCAAAAAGCTGTAGCTCACTTATTTGTTTTAAAATGTGTTTTCTTCGATTGCAGCTTTTACACTATTTGCAAAAGGTTAACTTCAGCACTTCATTCGGTGATCGGGTGTCATTTGATGAGAATGGTGATGCCCTACCGATATACGATGTCATGAACTGGCTGGTGCTTCCTGATGGGAGGATTAAAGTTCAGAATGTTGGTGAAGTTAAAAAATCTGACTCGGGAGGGGAAGAGCTCACCATCGATCAAAAGAAAATCTTCTGGAATACCGTTTCTAAAGAGGTGACTCTTCATTTTAGAGTGCTTTTTTTAGATAGGTTAATAAATAATGGTGGATTATTTTTTTTCTTTTCATAGCCACCTTGTTCTGTTTGCAGTGAACATTGTTCTCCAGGTACTCGCATGGCCAGAGAAAAGGGACAACCTGAGTGCTGTTTTATTTGTGTCGCCTGCTCTGATGGAAAGATCAGCAACAGAACTAGTAGGTATTAATGTGGGATTGCTGAACATTATGGAAGTCTGTTTCTTGTTTACTACTGTGTCATATTTGTCAGACGCTCCAGAGTGTTTCCGCTGTCCAGAGGACTTCTGGTCAAATCCCTCTCGGGACCAATGCATTCCTAAGAAAACCGAGTTCCTCTCCTATCAAGATCCTCTGGGAATCTGCTTGACAACAACCTCGTTGTTGGGTGCATTCATCTGTGCTGTTGTTCTGGGGATTTTTATTTATCACCGTCAAACACCTGTAGTAAGATCCAACAATTCTGAACTGAGTTTTTTGCTCCTCACGTCCCTCAAACTGTGCTTCCTGTGTTCACTGCTGTTCATCGGACAACCCCAACTGTGGACCTGCCAGCTGAGACATGCAGCTTTTGGCATCAGCTTTGTTCTTTGTGTTTCATGCATCCTGGTGAAAACCATGGTGGTTCTGGCTGTGTTCAAGGCTTCCAAGGCAGGTGGTGGAGCCAATCTCAAGTGGTTTGGAGCTATGCAGCAGAGAGGAACAGTTTTAATGCTCACTTGCATTCAAGCAGCAATCTGCACAGTTTGGCTCATCTCCTCGTCACCAGCTCCAAATAAAAACACTCAATACTACAATGACAAGATAGTTTATGAGTGTGAAGTTGGTTCCACCGTTTTCTTTTCCGTGCTTCTTGGCTACATCGGCTTACTGGCTACTCTTAGCTTTCTTTTAGCATTTTTGGCGAGAAATCTTCCAGACAACTTCAACGAGGCCAAACTCATCACTTTCAGCATGTTGATCTTCTGTGCCGTGTGGGTGGCCTTTGTTCCTGCTTACATCAACTCTCCAGGAAAATATGCTGATGCAGTGGAGGTGTTTGCCATCCTGGCCTCCAGTTTTAGTCTCTTGGTGGCTCTGTTCGGACCCAAATGCTACATCATCCTGATGAGACCAGAAAGGAACACAAAGAAAGCTATCATGGGGCGAAGCAGCAATTTTTAAGATACTTGAATTTTTCTGTTCATCTTTGTGTTTTTCGCAAACCGTGCTAATCAACCAATTTCAATAAAGAGCTGCTTTAAACATTATATCTCTGTATATTAAATTATCCTAATATTTGTGTTGTATCGCAGCTGCATCTTCACTTGCTGGGAGTTACATGAAACTACTAGTATGATGTTTACAAGAGTTTTGTAGTCTTTTAGTATAAGACTACTGGGGCGACGGTGGCACAGGAGTTAAGTGCTCGCCCCGTAATCGGAAGGTCGCAGGTTCGAGCCCCGCTCAGTCTGTCGCTGTCGTTGTGTCCTTGGGCAAGACACTTAACCTACGTGGCCTGCTGGTGGTGGTTGGAGGGGCCGGTGGCGCCAGTGCTCGGCAGCCTCGCCTCTGCCAGTGCGCCCCAGGGCAGCTGTGGCTACATCGTAGCTCATCCCCACCAGTGTGTGAATGTGTGTGTGAATGGGTGAATGACTGATTGTGTTGTAAAGGGCCTTGGGGGGTTCCAGGACTCTAGAAGGCGCTATATCAAATACAGGCCAAGACAACTTCCACAAAAGGACTAACAAAAAGGTAACAGAACAGCAGCAAGTTGAAAAAATTTAATATCTTAGAATAAACTTTAATAATCCTACGATGTGGAAATTCACGTGCTTCTTCCTGGACTATCAAGCCCACAAAACAAATACAAGAAAAACACCCAACAGCCCCTCGTCATATATTGAGGTTTAGTCACACACTTCATATTTTGACGCTTTGTGTGTGAGAATGTGTTGCTCTTCTTAGTAACAAAAATTATAAAACAAAAAAAATAGTCTGATGAGAGATCCAACTGAAAATATGCATGAATAAAAAACTTACTTCACTCATGAGGCATTTGTCAGTTGCACTAAACTAGTGTGAATACATTACATTTATGGACAATGGCTGTCCATGGTATTTCTATTTCAGCTTCTCAAATTAATGAGTGAAAATGTAAAATGTGTTTATTTCTGGGGTGTAGGGTGCTTTAACCCTTTTTTGATGCAGTATCAGTCAGTCTCCGACTACAAGCATTAAGGCCCTGCCCACCTTTCTTCTTTCTGCTCTGATGGGTGGTGTTCAGGGGAAGAACAATTAGACAGCACTGAAAATCAATAAAAGGGATGAAACTTACTGAGCAGTCTAAGAGAGGAGCAGCCATATGAAAGTTATGAGACTTTTTATCGACACATTCTTGCTTTTCATCATGCTGCAGTCTGCTGCCTCTTCTGCTCCACATTCTCCCTTGTTCCCCTGGTGTCAGCTACAGGGGAAATTTCATCTAAATGGCATGCACAAGGCTGGAGATCTGGTCTTAGGGGGGCTATTTGAAATGCATTTCTTTTCTCTCTTTCCTGATCTGTTGTTCACTTCTGAGCCACAACAACCCACCTGCCATGGGTACGTTTATCCGGATGAAAAATGAAAAATGAGGGAGATGCTGTGTTACCATTACGTCAATATTCTACTTTTTCAATAAGATGATATTTGTTTAGAGGGTTTTTTTTTTTGTATTAATGGGAAACATCATCCCTCAAGCCTGTTGTTTATCATGTTATTAACATTGTATTAAGGAAATTATAAACAACATATCTTTATTTAGTGAATGAAAATGTCTGCATGTTTTAGTTTTCAGAAATAAATAGTAATGTTGTGTTAGTTTTGATGTTTTAGGATTCAGACAAGCCCAGACCATGGCCTTTGCTATTGATGAGATCAATAAAAACGCCAAGCTGCTACCCAACGTGACTCTGGGCTACAGCTTGTACGATAACTGTGTTGAACTTGGAATTGGATTTCGTGCGGCCATGGCGCTGATCAGTGGTGAACAGGAACAAATCATGTTAGACAAGAACTGTGTGGGAAGCCCTCCAGTCTTAGGGCTTGTGGGCGATTCTTCTTCTACACGTACCATAGCCATCTCTTCTGTCCTAGGTTTGTACAGAGTACCTATGGTAAGTTCTAACCTTCATCATTCACTATTACTCTGATTTCACATTTAACTAAACATGGTAAAAGAAGATTTTGAATAGTTTAGGGATGTTCTGTTGTATGATTCACAGGTGAGTTTTTTTGCTTCATGTTCATGTCTGAGTGACCGCAAGAGGTTCCCATCCTTTTTTAGGACAATACCAAGTGATGCTTTCCAGGTAAAAGCTTTACCTAAAAAATCTGATGTGTATATTTTGACTAAGATTCTCTTTATTCTCATTGAAATAATCTGTCACTGTCATTCACCCAGGTCCGAGCTATGATTCAAATACTGAAATACTTTGAATGGACCTGGGCAGGTTTGCTGGTCAGTGATGATGATTATGGACTTCATGCTGCCCGATCCTTCCAGTCTGATCTGAGTTGGTCTGGTGGAGGATGTCTGGCCTACTTGGAGGTGTTGCCATGGGGCAATGACCCAAGAGAACTGAGGAGAATTGTGGAAGTGATACAAAAATCCACAGCTCGTGTGGTCATTGTGTTTGCACATGAGAGTCATGTGATTGATCTCATGGAAGAGGTAATCATATACGGGTGAAACTCGAAAAATGAGACTATTGTGCAAACGTCCGTTTATTTCCGTACTTAGACTGAGATACCATCTAAAGGATCAGGAACCTTTTGCAGATGTTTTGGATTCATTAGCTGATGAGTGTGTGACACTTTGAGCTTAGAATTTTGACACGCTTCACAATTTTCAAATTGTCTGAGATTTTGAATTTGGGGTTTTCATAAGCTGTAAGCCATAATCATCACAATTATAATGAAAAAGGCTTGAAATATTTAACTTCACAAATAATGAGTCTATCCCAGGTATTAGTTTCATCTTTCAAGTAGAATTACTGAAATAATGAACTTTTGTACGATATACTTTTTTTATTTTACTTTAGCAACTTAAGAAACTAAAACTGTCTCATTGCCATTGCACATTTTTTATTACAGAGAAATGTTCTGATCGTGCTTAAAACTAATGCAACCAACAGAATGAAAACCGGAAGGTTGACCATTTGGAAAGGTGGATTAGACCAGTGACTATAAAGAATGTCACCTCAGAAAATGTTGAGCCCTCTAAGTAACACAGTGGGACAGCAGTAGCTCAGGAGGTAGCGGGTTGTTCGGTAATCGGAAGGTTGCAGGTTTGGTCCAGGCTCTGACCACAGAATGCTGCTGTTGTGTCCTTGGGCAAGAAACTGAACCCACTTCACCTGCTGGTGGTGGTCGGAGGGACCGGTGGCGCCTGTGCTCGGCAGCCCCGCCCCTGTCCGTGCACCCCAGGGCAGCTGTGGTCACACCATAACTCACCCCCAGTGTGTGAATGTGGGTGTGAATGGGTGAATGAACTGATTGTGTTGTGAAGCACCTTGGGGGGTTGTAGAGCCCTAAGATGGTGCTGTACAAATACAGGCCATTTACCATTAAACAGTAATAGACGTTAAAAATGAATACTGAAACATTATAAATTGCTGAACTATGTAGCGTGTTTGTGTTAATCCACTTGAATGCCATTCAAAATCTAATTCCACTTCCTTATAATAACTTTTGAATCTTTCAATGAAATTGGTGAAGGGATACGTGTGGAAGGTCATTGTCTCTAGGCCCTTCTCTTAGTGAGGTAGCCCAGCGGTTGTTGCTGACACATTTGTTGACTTAGAAGTAGATTGATGACAATGTCACTCAAAGTCACTAAAACATACATTTCACATGTGAAAATTAATGATTCATACATTACTTGATTCCTTTATTCAACAACAAAGTATCTAAAAAAAGTGAAATGTCATTTACAAACAGGTGGTGAGGCAAAACCTGTCAGGCCTGCAGTGGTTGGCAAGTGAAGCCTGGTCCACAGCTGCTGTGCTTCATACCCCTGCCCTCATGCCGTACCTGGGTGGCACACTGGGTATTGCAATACGTCGGGGAGAAATACCAGGCCTCAGAGATTACCTGTTAAAGATACATCCCAATGTACATCACAACAGCAGCAATGGAAACAACATGGTAAAAGGTACAATCTCATCTAGTATTTAGGCAAATCATTATTTACCCTTTAAGTTTTACATTTATTACAGGTGAACCAGTTTTGGGAATTCACATTTCAGTGCAGATTTGCACCACCCCCAGCAGGTTGGGTGGAGAACGGGGGAACATTATGCACCGGAGAAGAAGACTTACAGAGTGTGGAAACGGAGTTCTTGGACGTTTCTAACCTCAGGCCTGAGTACAATGTTTACAAGGCTGTGTATGCTCTGGCACATGCCCTTGATGATATGTTGAAGTGTGAGCCAGGAAGAGGGCCTTTCAGTGAGAACAGCTGTGCCACTTTACAAACACTTCAGCCATGGCAGGTATAATTATCCACTTGTTTACATGGCTAAAAGCTTTTATACACAGTTTGTATTCCCATGCATGGTTTAGCCTTCAAAAATCAATGAGTTGAATTGTAAGATACCAAGAAATTGGTGTGTAACTTGCATAAATAGAATAGCATAATGCTCAGATCTTTAAAAGGTGTTTATGTATGTTAAATTTAGCTTGTTTATTATCTGGAAAATGTCAAATTCACCACATCATTTGGAGATCAGGTGTCATTTGATGAGAATGGTGATGCTTTACCCATTTATGATGTTATGAACTGGCTGTGGCATCCTGATGGAAGAACTGAGGTTCTAAATGTGGGAGATGTTAGAACATTGGCCTTCAATGTTGAAGAACTCAGGCTTGATGAAGAAAAAATCTTCTGGAACTTTGATTTGAAACAGGTACGTTCTTTTCATCTAAACCGCTAATCCACCCTGCATATATTGTTAGGATGTAAACTTTTTCCTGGTTTTATCTACGAAAGCCAACCCGTTCAATGTGCAGTGAGAACTGTCCTCCAGGTACCCGCATGGTGAGAAAAAAGGGGGAACCAGAGTGTTGTTTTGACTGCATTCCTTGTTCTGAGGGAAAGATCAGCAACGCAAGTAGTGGGTGCCCTATTTTCTGCCTTTCTCAAAACATTGCAATATGGTGAATGTGCAAGTTATCTTACTGTCTTCCTGGTTCTTGCAGACTCCTTGGAATGCTTCAGTTGTCCAGAAGGCTTCTGGTCCAGCCCCCAACGTGACCAATGTGTTCTTAAACAAACCGTTTTTCTGTCCTATGAGGAGCCTCTGGGAATCTGTTTGACTGCTGCCTCATTACTGGGAACTTTTATCTGTGCTGTTGTTCTGGGGATATTCGTCTATCACCGCCGTACTCCCATAGTGAAAGCCAACAACTCAGAACTGAGTTTTCAGCTGCTGCTGTCACTGAAGTTATGTTTCCTGTGTTCGCTGCTGTTCATTGGACGACCCAGACTGTGGACATGCCAGCTGAGACATGCAGCCTTTGGGATCAGCTTTGTTCTTTGTGTTTCGTGCATCCTGGTTAAAACCATGGTGGTTCTGGCTGTGTTCAAGGCCTCCAAGCCAGGAGGTGGCGCCAGCCTTAAGTGGTTTGGTGTTTCACAGCAGAGAGGAACAGTTTTAGTTCTTACCTCAGTTCAAGCAGCAATCTGCATAGTTTGGCTTGTCTTATCCTCACCCATGCCACATAAAAACACACAATACCACAATGACAAGATAGTTTATGAGTGTGCAATGGGCTCGGCTGTTGGCTTTTCTGTGTTACTGGGCTACATTGGCTTACTGGCTATCATTAGTTTTCTGATTGCATTCCTGGTAAGAAATCTTCCCGATCACTTCAATGAGGCCAAACTCATCACTTTCAGCATGCTGATCTTCTGTGCCGTGTGGGTGGCTTTTGTTCCTGCTTATATCAGCTCACCTGGAAAACATGCAGATGCAGTGGAGGTGTTTGCCATCCTGGCTTCCAGTTTCAGCCTTTTGGTGGCTCTGTTTGCACCCAAGTGTTTCATAATACTCCTGATGCCAGAAAGAAATACAAAGAAAGCTATAATGGACCGAGGCAACAAGAACACTGCTCAACATTAATATTATGATTGTTTCATCTGTTTAAAAGTAAATAGATATTTATTTTAAAGTAGTAAAAAAAACTCTTATTCATGCAGCCATTTTGTTGTTGTTTTTTATCTGAATTGACAAGTTGTCTATCCGTTTCTTTTTCTTCCTCCGGTCATTGTATCTGGGATTCAACAGTGAACTAAAGTGAAATTGGATTTAAATGTCCTACTGTGCTTGCGTTTTTCCTTCAGTCTCAAACTTAGTTCCTTGTGCAAAAATGAATATTGAAATTCTTTTTTGTCCTCATGTACACTAAATACTTATTTAGCAGCCATAGAGATGTCAATTGGGCCGGGTTGTGTGAAAAAAGCCCCATGAACACATTTTACTGTTAGGAAACTATTATTAATTTGAGTATAGATGGACTGGATTGCCCTTCAACATGACCTTAGCATTTGGGGCAATGGTGGCAAAGAAGTTAAGTGTCTGCCACAAAACCAGAGCGTTACAGGTTTCGTGCCCCACTCGATGGTTTGAAGTATGGGGGAGCTAGGGGAGCCCAGCTCCCCTGAAAGGATGTTGGGCTACCCCAGAAGCCTTCCCTCCCTCTCCCCCCACAGAGCCTTAACGGAGGCCATCGGAAGGACGACCACCCCACTCCAGCATTCTCACGGGGCTTCCACAGAAGCCTAGGTCTATTTTGACCCCTGCCCCACTGGTGGTGGTTGGAGGCATGGATGTAATTTTGGGGGGGGGACAGGGGGGACATGTTCCCCCCACTTTTTCCAAAGTCAAGTTTTGACCCCTGCATTTTTTACCATCCAAAAGCAACATTACGCTATATTAAATTGACACTGGTTGAGCTCTAGGACCAAGCGGAAAACAACTGTTTGTGTTGAAGCCTGTTTCCCATTAGAGCATAATGTAAAGATACCCCCCCCCCTCCCGTGTCCCCCCCACTTCTAAAGTGAAAATTACGTCCATGGTTGGAGGTACTGCTGCAACTGTGGCTACAATGTAGCTAAGCTCCCCCAGTGTGTGACAATGTAATGAGGGGTAAATATTGTTGCTTTTAAGCTTAATATAATACCTGTACTTATGACCATTAAGATGTGATATTCTATATAGATATAGGGTATCAACCTGACTGGTCTTTGCATGTTTAATCAGAAGAATTAGGATTCTTTGCTTTTTCAGTGATCATAACACACTTTGTATTAATTAGACAGAGTCAAGTTTATAAAAGGTAAGACATTTATTTTCTAATCTAATTAAAAACAAGACCAGTTACAAATAAGATGAATTTGACAGATGAATATATAAAACCTGATTTATGCTTCTCCGTCTGCGTCAGTGCTGAGACACGCAACGCCATTATCCGTCCTTGCGTAGGGCTCCGGCAGGCACGCAAGTACGTACGGAGTCGAGCCCACTTTTTTAAATATCCGTCGAACGAGACGGATTACGCAAGCTTGTGATTGGTCAGGACGCCACTGTTGTTTACAGCGCCGCCATTGCAGAGAGCCGAGGATAGCGGCAGACACGGAGAAGCTTGAAGAATACCTCGCGAAAAAACTCTAAAAATATGACCGTTTAATTCTCCCGTGACTGGAGGAGTGAAAAGATGCGCAGCAAGCGTTTTATTTGTGGACGGAAATGACAGGAAACGTGGCTTTAGAGGTGGCGAGCGCATGAAGCGGTGGGAGAATGAGAGACAAATATGTCCGTGTTAAAAGTCTCTTATGTACACAAAAAACACAATATAAACACACAATCTTGGACCGATACATGACAGGAAACCACAGAACAGCTCTACGCCCTCTGTTGTCCTGCCTGGCAATTGCTTTGCAACGCTCTCCCGGAGACGGAGAAGTAAAAGAGCAAAACGCTTCCATCAATCCGTGCGTGTCTGTCCCTTGCGGAGCTGACGGAGAAGCATAAACCAGGCTTTAGTGGATGGAATGTGAAGTATGATCATGGAATGGTGTGTGATGTTTATCAGAACCTTGTATCTAGAAGAAACTGTATTCTGGGTGTGAAAAGAATTTGGTCGGCATTAAACTATAAAAGTTGGTTCTTATCAAAACCACATCAGACGCAATCATGCTTTTTCTTCCTCACCCTTTTTGGAGAGCCTCTTCGCAAATCCGGAGGTCAGGAAGGTCGGATGACCTCTGGGCACCGAGGTTCAGTAGATTAACCGCAGTCTAGGGATGTCACCAGGCACAACAGATTGGAACTAGTTTGCGTCTAGAACAGCTGTTTCTGAGTAGCTGAAGGACCAAGTTTCTGTGTCGCTGCAGGCAGCTTTTGGCTTGTTGAAAGCCTTGATGGTTCAAAGAGTTTTGCTCCGGCTGGCTGGTCCGGAGCTCTGCTCAAACTAATTGAATCACTCAGCAAGTGATTCTGTTTTAATATTCCCATATTATGATTACATGGCCGACTAGGACGTGCCATGTTAAGAGGTGTTAACCGACAAACCTCAGAACCACCCCTTTCCCAGATACAGGAGATCTGACTTGTGGATCAGAAAATATCTATGTGCAGTGACGTTAAATTTAACTTGCATCATGGAGATATGGTGAGCGTGTGCTTGTCCAGTCACGTATGCTGATTAAGTATATGGGTCATATATTTCATTTCATCCTTATTAATTTAAGCACAGATTAATCAAAACATTTCATTTAACCATATTGCCCGTTTCATTATATGATTAGTTAACTCATATTGTTCATTTCATTATATGATTAGTTAACTCATATTGTTCATTTCATTATATGATTAGTTAACTCATATTGTTCATTTCATTATATGATTTAATTATGAAAGTTCATCCTTTGTTCTGTGAAGCACAGCAGTCTGAGATAAGAGGGAAGCTTTCAGAGAGACCTTGAAACGGGAACACTGTGTTCAAAGTAGCAGAGGCCTGGACTTCAGCTGATAGAATAGCAGAGTCCAGCAGATTAAAGGCTACAAATGTAGTCTCCTGTCTCCTTATGACCTGGCAGGAGTCTTGTGTCTGCACACTAGGTCTTTAATCAGATGACTTCATCAGCTGCACGCAGCTTCATCAGATAATATACATGACAGTAGCATTCTTTTCCAAGATCCTTCACAAGAGAACTGTATTAGAGAAATCTTTATTCCCAGAAGAAAGAAGATTTCATAATATAAGTACTCATTTTATCCGTCAGAATAATCATTGAAGAAAGAAGATTTGATTAAAAATCATTACATATTGCCATGTATAATTATAAGCCATGAATGTTCATGAATCTGTACCCAAGGATTGTTCAAGTATGTTTTAGGTCATCTCCATCATCACACCAGACAAGAAGTAAGGCTAAATTAAGAATGCATTACACATTAATAACCTTGTTCCACAGACTCAGAGACTCTGCGTCTCAGAGCGTGTGTTTCTGAAATTCTTGATAATTTTGGTAATAGATAACAGCGGGCTATACAACCAGCCGCTCTGCTTCAACCCTCAGACAAGTTCAAACATCCAACAGAACGAGGGTTGGAGAACCAAGCTTCAGACTGGCCATCTTTAGCTGAGCTACAGCCTTTCTAACCAGAAGGATTTTGACACGCTGTCAAAACCATAAGCTTTTTGCACCTGCAAAGCTGAAGTCAACAAGATATTTTTCCTGCAGAACAAAGCTGATTTTGCGACACTCCTTCAGAGTTATTTTGAGACACTTGGTTCCATCCAGTCAACTGTGTTACCTGGAAGCGATCCTGGACTGACCTGATCGTACTAGAAGTTAGTCTACGGACTTCTGTTCTTGGGGTCTCAAACCTCCCCTGACATTTCGGATCCACAAGGGCGCCTCCATGTTAGGTATTTTTATTTTCCCATCCAGGGTTACCATAGAGAAAGTTCATCACAGGGGTTATATTAATAAGCTGATCGATTAACCCATACCAATCTTTACCAATAAACAATTTAGACTTTGCAAAGTGGAGAGAGATAAAATGATTCACACGAGTCGGTAGGCAATTCGCTCTCAGACAGAACCCTCAGAAAGTATTTATTAAGGACACACAAAATGGTAAAACACACACACATTTACACACTAAAACATTGATGCACACACTTTGACATTCCTTTAGACTCTCAGCGAGCAGGGAGGCAACAGGCGCGGGCACAGGGCGTTCTCACTGATAAGCCAGGACTGGAAAGAGGCAAGGTCAAACGCCTGTCTGTTGCTAGAGTAAAATAAACCGTATCAAGCTTCCCAAAATAAACCGGATGAAGCTTTTGTTTAAAAAATAATAAAATAATGTATCCATAATTTATCCAACATTCCACTTGGGTACGTAGAACACAGTGAAATAAGCATCTGTATGCAGTTTGATAAATAACAGCTCATAGCCTATAAGCAAACCAAATTCTCTTTTATCCAGAAACGCACCTCTCTGAAGATACGGAGATTCTGATTCATCATCTCATATTCACACATAGTTCTCAGACATCTTTTAGTTCCATCCACTCACACTAGATAATAGTTTAAACAATCTGTCAAGTCTCCTCCTCCTACCTCAAGTGGAGGAGTTTAAGTATCTCGGGGTCTTGTTCACGAGTGAGGGTAGGAGGGATCGGGAGATCGACAGGCGGATTGGTTCGGCGTCTGCAGTGATGCGGACGCTGAGCCGATCTGTCGTGGTGAAGAGGGAGCTGAGCCAGAAAGCCAGGCTCTCGATTTACCGGTCGATCTACGTCCCAATCCTCACCTATAGTCATGAGCTTTGGGTAATGACCAAAAGAACGAGATTGTGGATACAAGCGGCCGAAATGAGTTTCCTCCGTAGGGTGGCCGGGCTCAGCCTTAGAGATAGGGTGAGGAGCTCGGACATTCGGGAGGGACTCGGAGTAGAACCGCTGCTCCTCCGGATCGAAAGGAGCCAGTTGAGGTGGTTTGGGAATCTGGTCAGGATGCCTCCTGGACACCTCCCTGGGGAGGTGTTTCGGGCATGTCCTGCCGGCAGGAGGCTCCCGGGTTGACCCAGGACACGTTGGAGAGGTTACATCTCCAATCTGGTCCGGGAACGCCTTGGAGTCCTGCCGGAGGAGCTGGTGGAGGTGGCCGGGGAGAGGACGGTCTGGAGCTCCCTAGTTGGGATGCTGCCCCCGCGACCCGGACCCTGATAAGCGGAGGAAGACGACGACGACGACAATCTGTCAAGTCTTAATTATTTGTAAAATAAATTCTTATTTGTTTGCAAAACGGACTGGTTCTTGAATCAAAGCGAAGTGTGACGATCCCTTAATAATTAAAAGAATCCTAGAACCTTCTAATTAATCATCCTAAGACCAAGCAAGGTGATATTCTGTAATTAATAGAGTATTACAGCTATTGGTCACAAAGTAATGAGAATAGAAATAAATAGCTCTTAAGCAATTTATTTAATCCAATTTAACTCGACTATTTCACATTACAACAGACAACAATGACCGTGGAGGCATGGAAGATGGTCTGCTGGGTTCCAATTACCTGACATCCCACATTAGAAAGAAATATGCACATTCATCAGTTTTTGAAAATCTCAAACTCAAAGACATTCTGGATCGCCTTTCACTACAAAGTTGGGTTAACCAGATCATTCCATGACACCCCCCCCCCCCCCCCTATTTTTAGTCAGCATATAATTGTATTCAATCTAAAACTATCTAAAATGTTTGTAAATCAGCATTAATTTTAGGCCCTGTTGGTGTGTTTTCCTCTGCCCAGATGGGTGGCGTAAATCTGACATCATTTTGAAAGTCAATAAGAGGATGCCGACCACACAATGGCACTCACTGTTGATCTATGAGGAAGAAGATAAACAACTAGATGAAAGTCCCGTTGCCCTTTAAGCTCCCTCTCTTGCTTATTCCTATGCTGCACTCTGCATTTCCATCTGCTGCAGCTTCCTCTCTTTTGTCCTCTTGTCAGTTACAGGGGAAATTTCATCTAAATGGCATGCACAAGGCTGGGGATGTGGTTTTGGGGGGCTTATTTGAAATACATTTCTTTTCTGTCTTTCCTGATTTGTCTTTCACCTCTGAGCCACAACAACCCACCTGCTATGGGTAAGTTTGTTGGGGTGCCTGCCAAAAATACTAGACATCAACTATTTGAAGATTCTGCAAATAAGTGATTATGTGGCTAAAAGAATTTTGTGTCATCATAATGTCCATTTATTTTTCTTATTTCATTTAGCAAATTTTACATAACTGATTCATCTGAATTGTCAATTTGAGTGTTTAAGGATAGTATTTTTGTTTTAGTTTGGATGTTCTAGGATTAAGAAAAGCCCAGACCATGGCCTTTGCTATTGATGAGATCAACAGAAACGCTGAACTGCTACCCAACGTGACTCTGGGCTACAGCCTGTATGATAACTGTGTGCAACTTGAAATTGGATTTCGTGCAGCTATGGCATTAATCAGTGGTGAACAGGAGAACATCGTGTTTGACAGGAACTGTGTAGGAAGCCCTCCAGTCGTAGGGCTTGTGGGTGATTCGTCATCCACACACTCCATTGCCATCTCCTCGGTCTTAGGATTGTACAGAGTTCCTATGGTAGGTTTTCAGCTTGACCATTCTGTTTTTATTGGATTTATGTAGCTCTATTTTTGCTCCAATTAGGGTTTAATCAAGACAAACAGCAGGTTTTAGTAATGTTTTAAGATGTGCAGCTTCTTTGTTCCACAGATCAGTTATTTTGCCACTTGTGCATGCCTGAGCAACCGACACAAGTATCCATCCTTCTTTAGAACCATACCAAGTGATGATTTCCAGGTAAAACAAATAAATAAGTCAAACCTGACAAGTCACATTCTTATCTTTATTAAAATAAATTGTTGTTTCAAGTGCGAGGGCTGGAACGTCCTGAAATCCTAACTTAATTCACATTTTGTGGTCACGTAGGTCCAAGTTCTAATTCAAATACTGAAACATTTTGGCTGGACTTGGGCAGGCTTGCTGATCAGTAATGATGATTATGGATTACATGCAGCCCAATCCTTCCAGTCTGATCTGACGTTGTCTGGTGAAGGATGCCTGGCTTATTTAGAGGTGCTGCCGTTGGGCAACAATGCAGGAGAACTAAAGAGGATCGTGGACATAATGAAGAAATCCTCAGCTCGTGTGGTCATTGTGTTTGCACATGAGAACCATGTGATTGATCTCATGGAGGAGGTAACAACGCTCTAACAAGTATTTATCAAAGTGATGAATGGGATTTGTGTGCTCAGATCATTGTTGTGTTTGCCAAAAATATCCTTTACTTGGACAAAATATTGTAATTTTACCAAAACTGAGGTGAATAAAATAAGTAGGAGTCACCTAACCTTGAATACTTTCTTCCTGGTTGCTACACTGTGTGATAAAAATGTTTGAATCGACATTTTAAAAAGGTGGTGAGGCAGAATTTGACCGGCCTGCAGTGGCTGGCAAGTGAAGCCTGGTCAACCTCTGCCATGCTTCAGACTCCTGAGCTCATGCCGTACCTGGGTGGCACATTGGGTGTTGCTATTCGTCGAGGAGAAATACCAGGCCTCAGAGACTTCCTGTTGGAAACGCACCCTGATTTACATTACAACAGCAATGAAAATACTATGGTAATACACACTGTTTTAGTTTAATCCCATACTTCTACAAGTCATTAATATTCATTTTAACTTGACTACAGGTGAACCAGTTTTGGGAATTCACATTTCAGTGTAGATTTGCACCACCTCCAGCAGGTTGGGTGGAGAACGGGGGAACACTATGCACTGGAGAAGAAGACTTACAGAGTGTGGAAACGGAGTATTTAGCCACATCTGACCTCAGGCCTGAATACAATGTGTACAAGGCTGTGTATGCTCTGGCATATGCCCTTGATGATATGCTGAGGTGTGAGCCAGGAAGAGGGCCTTTCACTGAGAACAGCTGTGCTACTTCACAAACACTTCAGCCATGGCAGGTACATTTTAATTTATTATTATAATAGTATTTTGTGAAAGAACAATGTCAAAAGGGATTTTGTGATCTACACTGCCTGGCCAAAAAAAAAGGTCACACACTAATATTTAGTTGGACCACCTTTAGCTTTGATTACAGCCCACGTTTGCTGCTTTGTACCAATAAGCTTCTGTAATGTTACCAGATTTATTTCCATCCAGTGTTTCAATAATTTCTCACCAAGATTTTGCATTGGTGATGTTAGAGTCTGACCGCTGCACAAAGCCTTCTCCAACACATACCAAAGATTCTCAATAGGGTTAAGGTCTGGACTGAAAATGATGTCTCATGCTCCCTGAACCACTCTTTCACTATTTGAGCCTGATGAATCCTGGCATTGTCATTTTGGAATATGCCTGTGCCATCAGGGAAGATGGAATGACCTGGTCATTCAGTATATCTGAAGGTTGCTGAACCTAGACCTGACCAACTGCAGCAACCCCAGATCATAGCACTGCCCCCACAAGCTTGTACAGTAGATAACTGCAGCAACCCCAGATCATAACACTGCCCCCACAAGCTTGTACAGTAGACAACTGCAGCAACCCCAGATCATAACACTGCCCCCACAAGCTTGTACAGTAGACAACTGCAGCAACCCCAGATCATAACACTGCCCCCACAAGCTTGTACAGTAGACAACTGCAGCAACCCCAGATCATAGCACTGCCCCCACAAGCTTGTACAGTAGACAACTGCAGCAACCCCAGATCATAACACTGCCCCCACAAGCTTGTGCAGTAGACAACTGCAGCAACCCCAGATCATAACACTGCCCCCACAAGCTTGTACAGTAGACAACTGCAGCAACCCCAGATCATACCACTGCCTCCACAAGCTTGTACAGTAGACAACTGCAGCAACCCCAGATCATAGCACTGCCCCCACAAGCTTGTAGAGTAGACAACTGCAGCAACCCCAGATCATAGCACTGCCCCCACAAGCTTGTACAGTAGACAATTGCAGCAACCCCAGATCATAGCACTGCCCCCACAAGCTTGTACAGTAGACAACTGCAGCAACCCCAGATCATAGCACTGCCCCCACAAGCTTGTACAGTAGACAACTGCAGCAACCCCAGATCATAGCACTGCCCCCACAAGCTTGTACAGTAGACAACTGCAGCAACCCCAGATCATAGCACTGCCCCCACAAGCTTGTACAGTAGACAACTGCAGCAACCCCAGATCATAGCACTGCCCCCACAAGCTTGTACAGTAGACAACTGCAGCAACCCCAGATCATAGCACTGCCCCCACAAGCTTGTAGAGTAGACAACTGCAGCAACCCCAGATCATAGCACTGCCCCCACAAGCTTGTACAGTAGACAACTGCAGCAACCCCAGATCATAGCACTGCCCCCACAAGCTTGTAGAGTAGACAACTGCAGCAACCCCAGATCATAGCACTGCCCCCACAAGCTTGTACAGTAGACAATTGCAGCAACCCCAGATCATAGCACTGCCCCCACAAGCTTGTACAGTAGACAACTGCAGCAACCCCAGATCATAGCACTGCCCCCACAAGCTTGTACAGTAGACACTAGGCATCCCTTCATCTGCCTCTCTTCTTACCCTGATGCACCATCACTGTACAACAGGGTCCTTCTGGACTCATCAGACCAGTTTTTATTAAAGCGTTGGACAGTTCTTATCCCAGTTTTAGTCCTTTCAGCTATCTCAGATGTTTTCTCTGCTTGATGCCGATGATCTGACCCTTCTCAAACAGATGAACATCTTTCCACGACAACCAGGTGTGTCTTTCCATGCATGTGGTTGTTTAGTTAATGAGAAGCAACTCATTACACGAGTTGGGTTAAATACCTTGTTGCCAGCTGAAAGATAAATGCCCTTGCAGTAAATATCCAATGGGAGGCTAGTACCTATTTGCTTAGTTAAATTTAAAACTGATCTCTTTTTTTTGGCCGGGTAGGGTATTCTTCACTCAAACTTAAATATCTGAAGTTTGCCTGGACGTTACTCAACCTACACCTAGACTGAGTATGGTTAAGGTCGGTTTCCACTGATTCATTTCTTCCTCTCAGCTTATGTATTACTTGGAAAAAGTTAATTTCACCACATCGTTTGGAGATCATGTGTCCTTTGATGAAAATGGTGATGCTTTACCCATTTATGATATCATGAACTGGTTGTGGCTCCCTGGTGAGCAGATTACGGTTCAAAAGGTGGGAGATGCGAAAATGTCGACTCTAAAAGGCGAAGAACTAGGGCTTCAAGAAAACAAAATCTACTGGAACTTTGATTCAAAAGGGGTAATTTCCCATTAGTTGTTTATCTGATACCTTAAAAAGGATAAAAGTCAGTGATAAGCATTTCTCCTTGTAGCCAGCTCGATCAGTTTGCAGTGAGAACTGTCCTCCAGGAACACGCATGATGAGAAGAAAAAAGGAACCAGTTTGCTGTTTTGACTGCATTCCATGTTCTGAGGGAAAGATCAGCAATAAAACCAGTAGGGGTCCATGTTTTTTTTTTTTTTTTCATATTGTAAGATATGTTACTTTAGATATGTTATTTTAGTGTGCTATAACAACAATGTATCACACTTTCTTTTTATTTTTTTAAAAGACTCAATTGAGTGCTTCAGTTGTCCAGAAGACTTCTGGTCCAGCCCTCAACGGGACCACTGTCTCCCCAAGAAAACAGGCTTTCTGTCGTATGAGGAACCTCTGGGAATGTGTTTGACAGCTGCCTCATTACTGGGAACTTTTATCTGTGCTGTTGTTCTGGGGATATTCATCTATCACCGCAGTACTCCCATAGTGAAAGCCAACAACTCAGAAGTGAGTTTTCAGCTGCTGCTGTCACTCAAGTTATGTTTCCTGTGTTCGCTGTTGTTCATTGGACGACCCAGACTGTGGACATGCCAGCTGAGACATGCAGCCTTTGGGATCAGCTTTGTTCTTTGTGTTTCATGCATCCTGGTTAAAACCATGGTGGTTCTGGCTGTTTTCAAGGCCTCCAAGCCAGGAGGTGGCGCCAGCCTTAAGTGGTTTGGTGTTTCACAGCAGAGAGGAACAGTTTTCGTTCTTACCTCAGTTCAAGCAGCAATCTGCACAGTTTGGCTTGTCACCTCCTCACCAACACCAAACAAAAACACTTCATACTACAACGATGAGATAGTTTATGAGTGTGCAATTGGCTCGGCTGTTGGTTTTTCATTTTTACTGGGCTACATTGGCTTACTGGCTATCCTAAGCTTTCTGATTGCATTCCTTGCGAGGGATCTTCCAGACAACTTCAATGAAGCCAAACTCATCACTTTCAGCATGTTGATCTTCTGTGCCGTGTGGGTGGCCTTTGTTCCTGCTTATATCAGCTCACCTGGTAAATATGCAGATGCAGTGGAGGTGTTTGCCATCCTGGCATCCAGTTTCAGCCTCTTGGTGGCTCTGTTTGGACCCAAATGTTACATAATCCTGCTGAGTCCAGAAAAAAATACAAGGAAAGCCCTGATGGGTCGAGCCATCAAGGGTACTGCCTAATACTAAAAGGAAACAAAAAAACAAGAATCAAACAAATAAGCCATCTCACTATACCACCTCATATCTTTTGATTTATGATGAAATCACTGTAGATGAGTCTCATATGTCTTAGATGAGCCTAAACTGTTTAAATGTTATGCATTTATTTCTGTCAGTAAAAACTGAAAAACACAAAGTCTGCAACTGATAGAGTTCTGCTGTCTGGCTTGTTGTGGGGACACGCCAGTTTTATTGTCTCTCAGAAGCTCAATGTGAATATAATAAAATTAAGATTTTAAATCCTTAACCAAACTTTCTAATGTACAAGCTTACTGCTTTTTAGTGCAAGTTTTAAACAAAGAAGCATTTTGCAAGAGAGGCTGTATTTAAAAGATGAATGCAATCACAGTCTGTTCTGGTGTGGTGCTACCATCTAGTGGACATTTGATTAGATTTTTACTGACATTTCATTTCATTTCCTTTCAAAACTTTAGTAAAAGATTAAAAACAATTGGGCCTGACTCAGTTTAAACCTGTTTTTCAGCAGGTTCCTGTTCTGCTGAACGTCAAACTGCTACCTCACAGGCACACATACTAAAACAACACTAAGCAATCATACAAACACCCATGATCCAAAAAAGGCAACAAGACATTGTAAATGTGATGAAAGGGTGACCCTTCCAGCCTCCTGCCCAATGACTGACTTTAGTCAACAAGATTCGAGCTGCGTTATAGATGGACATTCAGGACTTCAGCTCCAAATGTTGCAGTTACATCATTGTGGGTTTCCAAGTCAGAGGCCTTGTCTGATTTGTAGTCAGCAAAATTTACTAAATCACTTTTAGCAGAAGTCACTAGAGAGAAAAGATGTGTCAAATATCAGTTACATGTTTCATTATAATGCTTTAGGTACAACTCTTATTATCAATGTAAGCATGCAACAAATATTTATTTTGTTCATTTGCAGATCAAAAGCTGAATTTACTTATTGGAAAAGCTCAGTTTTCATTCCTAACTTTTCTTATTGAGTTTAATTTTCTGTGGGTTTTACCAGCTCTCACAGCTACGCATGTATTTATTACAAAAGTACTTCAGTGGTCTGTGTTGGGTATTTTTATAATTGTACCTTTTTGAGGCCTAAAAGATGCCCATTTTGTGTTATGAATCTCTGTTTTTGCCAACTGTTGCTGTTCATGAAAGGTTGAGCAAGGATGTTGAATGTGGGTTTCAAACTGAAAACGGTACCTCTGTAACCTGAGAAGGCCTGCCTTCTCCCCCATCCTTTGCTGAATAAAGCCCCTGGGAAACTGAGGAGACTTGGGAGTGACGGGGGAAAAGCCTCGGAGGAGGTTTTTCCCTGTGTTAACTCTCCTTTATTTTGGGGACTCAGGGTAAAATGTCTTCCATGTTGTGTGTGTGTTTATTTCAGGTTCCAGGGTTATGGAGATTAAATATCACTTAACATTAATTACCTAACAGTCTGTATGGGTCAACAAAATACAAAGCCATTATGCGTCAAAATTAGCAGCAAAAAGCCTCAACACAACAGAAAAAAACTGTAAAGTCAACACAAAAGACTGGACTGTGGCTTTTTGTTTTTGAAGTGCACTTTTCTCGTCTCTTTTTCTTTCAGGTGTGGTGTTTTGGATCTGCTTTCAGGCTTGTTTTGTTTTGCTTTGTGTATTTCACTGAACTGTGCAGGCAACCCTATTTTGTTGCGGAGCTCCAGTAGAGAAAAGCATTTGCTGCTTGGAAACCTCAGACCTGAGCTTCACTGGTCACATTAAAGCTATAACTAGATCAGCATTTTATCATCTGAATCAAATAGCACGACCGAGAGGTCTCAAGTCCAGACCAGACCTGTAGAAACTCATTCAATTCAATTCAAGTTTATTTGTATGGCGCCAAATCACGACAAGAGTCGTCTCAAGGCACTTCACATAATAAACATTCCAATTCACAGTTCATTAAGCCAATCAGAAATAATGTGTCCTATATATATATTCATGTGTTCATCTCCAGCAGCTGGACTGTTGCAACGGTCTTTAACTAATCTTCCCAAAAAAGCTGCAAAGCAACTGCAGCTTACTCCGAGTGCTGCTGCTAGAACCAAGAGAACCGAGCACATCACTCCTGTTCTTAAATCTCTACACTGTTACCAGTAAACTACAGAATCCATTTCAAAGTACTTCTGCTGGTTTATTAATCACTCAATGGCATGGGGCCAAAATACTTGTTGAATCTCCTTCCTGTACATATGCCCAGCAGGGCTCTGGGACCCGTAGGAAGCAGTCAGCTGGTAGAACCCTGGGTCAGAACCAAACAGGATGAGGCTGCTTTTAGCTTCTATGCTGCTCACAGATGGATTCCTCATGACCTCAAATGTGCTCCAACTCTAGTACCTTTTAAACCAAAATTGAAAACTTTCCTGTTTTCATCAGCTTTTGAATGAACGTTGCTTAATCTGCACCTTCGGCATCGTAACTGCTCATCATCCTTTTGCCTTTTATATTATTCTTACACATTAGATCTAATTTCATTTGTATGTTTTAAAGTTGGTTTTAAAATCTGGTGTTTTATGTTGTCTTGCAGATTTTATTGTTTAATGGTCTTGCTCCTGGAAAGCACATTGAAATGTGTTTTACAGATAAAGCCGCCTCGCCTCTAAAAAGTCAGAACAGGGCAAATTACTGTAGCTTCTTGCATGTTGTGATAAAAAACACTGTCATTAAGTCATTAAGTTTTATTCTCGATATAAATGTACACAAAGGATAATATGATAAATTCACTCATCGATACCAAATTATGCCACAGTTCCAATGTTAGTGAAAATTTCTAAGCTTCATTTTTAAATGAAAACAATGATAAATAAAAACAGTCTGAAATGAATTTTAAGCCCTGCCCACATTCCCTTCTCTATCAAAGTGGGAGGAATTTGAAACGAAACCCAGTATGATAAACTGATGAAAAAGAGCCGACAAAGTGCACCAACGTTTAACGGTGTGCTCAACCAGATGGGTGTAATGCAACCTTTTCCACTCGTCTGTTTACTTTTGCTCATGTTGTTTTACGTGTATGTTTCATTTGCTGCATCCTCTTCTCCACTGTCTCCCTCCTGTCTGTTGCAAGGATTGTTTCATTTAAATGCGATGCATAGAGCTGGAGATGTGGTGCTGGGGGGGCTGTTTCAAGTTCACTTCTTTTCGGTTTCTCCTGACTTGTCTTTTAACTCGGAGCCGGATCAACGTACCTGCTATGGGTGAGTGTGTTAGGGATAGGGCAACCGAGAGACACGGAGAAGGAGCAGCTCTTTTATTTTTACTGATGATATATTTCTTTATCAGCAGTGTGTGTGTCATGCAAAACACATTCCGGACTATTGTCTTGACCTTTAACTGTGCTTAATTGTATCATACATATTTCTGCACTTAACAGAGGCTTTCTGTGTTAGTTATGACGTTCTAGGGTTACGACAGGCCCAGACCATGGCCTTTGCTATCGATGAGATCAACAGAAACTCTAAGCTGCTACCCAACGTGACTCTGGGGTACAGCCTGTATGATAACTGTCTGACTCTTGGAGTTGGATTTCGTGCAGCTCTGGCGCTGATCAGTGGCCAACAGGAGGAAATCATGTTAGAGGAGAATTGTGTAGGAAGCCCTCCAGTCTTGGGAATTGTGGGTGATTCTTCTTCTACACGAACTATTGCCATCTCCTCTGTCTTAGGCTTACATAGAGTACCAATTGTAAATATTTTTTAATTACCTTCTATTCTGTTTTTCATCATGTTTGTTTAATATTGGCTCTCATAAATTTTGATGTGTTTTCAATGTGTATCTTACAGGTGAGTTATTTTGCCACATGTTCATGTCTGAGCGACAGACAAGCCTTTCCATCCTTCTTCCGGACAATACCAAGTGATGCTTTTCAGGTACCAAAATATCAGTTTTCTTTGAAAAGAATATGTTGTTGCAGCGAAAGTAAATACATTTTTTTTAAAAAGACATGGCTTACGTGACTTTAATTGAAACCTGCCTTTTCTCTTCTGCTTCTCTGGGCTCACTCAGGTACGAGCAATGATTCAGATATTAAAGCACTTCGGCTGGACTTGGGCAGGTTTGTTGATCAGTGATGATGACTACGGATTCTTCGCTGCCCAGTCCTTCCAGACTGATCTTAGCCTGTCAGGTGAAGGCTGTCTGGCTTATGTAGAGGTGTTGCCCTGGGGCAGAGACTTACCTAAACTGAAGATGATTGTGGATGTGATGAAGAAATCCACAGCTCGCGTGGTCGTCGTGTTTGCACATGAGGGTCCGATGATTAATCTCATGGAAGAGGTTGGTCATTGGATGTATTGTGTTTATTTTTTGAGGTCGGTTACAGTTATTGCTAGGTTTTTTTAACTAACTTACAAAAATATAAATTGCACTGTGTATCATGCAACCACTGCAGCTTGAATAACAAATTTGGGTGCGTATAGTAAGTAAAAACACTGCATTATTTGCACAGTTTGACATTAGTGCATTAAAACTGAGTGTTTTGATAACTTGAGAAATCGTTTGCTGTAAAAGGTGGTGAGGCAGAAGCTGACAGGTCTGCAGTGGTTGGCGAGTGAAGCCTGGTCCACAGCTGCTGTGCTTCAGACTCCCGAGCTCATGCCGTACCTGGGTGGCACACTGGGCATTGCGATACGCCGAGGAGAAATACCAGGCCTCACAAACTTCCTCCTACAAATGCACCCTGATTTACATTATAACAACAGCAATGAAAACAGCTTGGTGAGTTCCATCTTTGGTTCTTTTTTTTAACACAGAAAAGGTTTTTAGTTTACCTTGCCGACGGTTCAAATGGAATTTGAAGATAAACACAGCAAGAATGTGCAAAAGAAGCTTGGTGAGTTATTGAGTCACTATAGATGGGTACAGCTATAATTTAAAAATTGTTCTAATTAAAAGTTGTATTCATGACAGGTGAACCAGTTTTGGGAATTCACATTTCGGTGCAGATTTGCACCACCTCCAGCAGGTTGGGTGGAGAACGGGGGAACACTATGCACTGGAGAAGAAGACTTACAGAGTGTGGAAACGGAGTTCTTGGACGTTTCTAACCTCAGGTCTGAGTACAATGTTTACAAGTCTGTGTATGCTCTGGCATACGCCCTCGATGATATGCTGAAGTGTGAGCCAGGAAGAGGGCCTTTCGCTGAGAACAGCTGTGCCACCTTACAAACACTTCAGCCATGGCAGGTACGTTGTACTGTGCATGTGGTCCCTGCAACAATCGTAGTGATCAACACAAATAGGAGATCAAGTACAAAGTTCCATTGTAGAGTGTGGTGTTTTCAAAACTGTTTTCATAGTGAGAAGATTGTCTTGATTTTCCAAATTCTCATTTAAATTTTAATAGCTTGTTTATTACCTGGAAAAAGTCAATTTCACCACATCGTTTGGTGATCAGGTGTCATTCGATGAGAACGGTGATGCTTTACCCATTTATGATGTTATGAACTGGCTTTGGCTCCCTGATGGAAGAACTGAGGTGCAAAATGTCGGAGATGTTAAAATAACAACCTTTGGTGGGGAAGAACTGAGGTTTTATGAAGACAAAATCTTTTGGAACTTTGATTCAAAAAAGGTAATTGGCTAACACATTTAAAATGTACACTTTGCAGTGTGAAATGACTTAATAGGCGTTGTTTTTGTAGCCAACCAGATCAGTTTGCAGTCAGAACTGTCCTCCAGGGACACGCATGGTGAGAAAAAAGGGGGAACCTATTTGCTGTTTTGACTGTAACTCCTGCTCTGAGGGAAAGATCAGTAACGGCAGCAGTGAGTGTCTATATTTAGTTTTATTTTTTGCAATGCTCTTGATTTTTCAAAAACAATGTTTTTGTTTTCACTTCTGTTTCCAGACTCTTTAGACTGCTTCAGTTGTCCAGAAGACTTCTGGTCCAGCCCCCAACGTGACCAGTGTGTTCCAAAAAATACTGAATTTTTATCCTATCAGGAGCCTCTGGGAATGTGTTTGACTGCTGCCTCATTACTGGGGACATTTATCTGTGCTGTTGTTCTGGGGATATTCATCTATCACCGCCGTACTCCCATAGTCAAAGCCAACAACTCAGAACTGAGTTTTCAGCTGCTGCTGTCACTCAAGTTATGTTTCCTGTGTTCGCTGTTGTTCATTGGACGACCCAGACTGTGGACATGCCAGCTGAGACATGCAGCCTTTGGGATCAGCTTTGTTCTTTGTGTTTCGTGCATCCTGGTTAAAACCATGGTGGTTCTGGCTGTGTTCAAGGACTCCAAGCCAGGAGGTGGCGCCAGCCTTAAGTGGTTTGGTGTTTCACAGCAGAGAGGAACAGTTTTAGTTCTTACCTCAGTTCAAGCAGCAATCTGCACAGTTTGGCTTGTCTTATCCTCACCCATGCCCCATAAAAACACACAATATCACAATAATAAGATAGTTTATGAGTGTGCAATTGGCTCTGCTGTTGGATTTTCTGTGTTACTGGGCTACATTGGCTTACTAGCTATCATTAGTTGTTTGATTGCATTCTTTTCAAGGAATCTTCCAGACAACTTCAATGAGGCCAAACTCATCACTTTCAGCATGCTGATCTTCTGTGCCGTGTGGGTGGCCTTTGTTCCTGCTTACGTCACCTCACCTGGTAAATATGCAGATGCAGTGGAGGTGTTTGCCATCCTGGCTTCCAGTTTTGGCATTTTGGTGGCTCTGTTTGGACCCAAATGTTACATAATCCTGCTGAAACCAGAGAGAAACACAAAGAAAGCCCTGATGGGTAGGGGCACCTAAGATTTGACATAACATTAAAAAATTATTTAGGCAGAAAAGGAACAGTTATGAGAAGTTTGTTTTAATGTAGCTTTATATGTCTGAACATGCTTCCCTAATAAAATTAACTTTAAAATATTGGATTGTCACTTTTTCTGTGTCAACTTAGATTTGGGGAAAATATTTGTATCTTTTATCTAAGTATAAAGGATACTAATCTACAAACACTACCCTTATTTACATTTTTTCTCAGTCCGGCTTTCTCAATAGATTATCTTTAATTGGCACTACCAGCACTTCCTTGTTTGCTATCGTCCATTTCTATCAGGCCACACCCAGCTCAGCCAACTCCATGGTGTGCCCCAGGGCTCCGTCCTAGGGTCTCATCTCTTTATCATTTACATCTCCTCTGTTGGTAATGTTATCACAAATGTAACATCCATTTCTGGTGTTTTTGTGGAAGACAGCCAGCTCTACTTCTCTAGTAAACCTCAATCCTCTCGCAGTACAATCCTGTTTCCCCCAGCGAGAGCAGCCATCTATGGCGCTCATCTACTGAACAGTCACAGGTGGGAAGGAGATCTTGGGAGAAGCAAAGAGTACATTGACTCCTACAGTTCATGATAACAAAAATTTGATTGGGTCAGGCTGAGCTAATTTTCCTCTCTGCCTTCAGTCTTTAAACTGATCATTTCCAGTCCTTCAGTGAAGCCAATTTTGGGTTTTAAAACCTGCTCATACCGTCCGGTGACCCTCTCCGAGATGACATCCATTTTGCGCACTAATACCGGTATCGCAGCTAGAACATTGTCCAGCTTACGATTCACCTCGAGTAACGTCCCAGTCTGAGAAGTCTCCACACGGACGGTGCTTTCCGTGCGTGCGGGTCGCCCTCCAATCGCAGCCTGCATTATCCCCCTCACACACACACACACACACACACACACACACACACACACACACACACACACACACACACACAGTCTCACAGTCTCTTTTCAACACATCATCCCAGTCCCTCAACATAATTGCCTACTGGCAAAGTTCAGAATAATCTCCTAACATCTCGTGAACACATTCAAGACCATCCACAATCTTGCTCCTTCATACGTTTCTGATCTTCTTATCACTGCTACATCCTCCAGTTCCCTCCAGCCTTCCTTCTCCATCCATCTCCATTTTCCCTCCTTCTGCTGCAGCACTAGGGGAAGCAGAATTTTAGCTGTTCATCTTCCAAGCTCTGGAACTTCCTACTTTTTGACATCTGCAACATCAACTATTTTCCCCTTTTTTAAATGAAGACAAATACCTCGTCTGTTCAGAACAGCCTTCTCTTAGAAGTTAAGTCATTTTTAATGAGTTTGCTTTTGTCTACTGTGTTTGTTTTATTCTAAAGTGAACTTGCTTGCCCTGATATATGATCACAAAAGTATTATTATTATTATTATTATTATTATTATTGTTATTATTATTATATTATTATTATTGTTATTATTATATAATAATAATAATAATTATTATTATTATTATTATTATTATTATTATTAATATATAATTATAATAATAATTATATTATTATTATTATTATTATATACTTCTAAGTTAAACGGGGTATTTTAACCACATAACCAACCATAAGATACAGTGATTGGTACAGACATGTTTTTATATTCCTTAAACAAAAAAGAATTGCTGTAGCTTAAAAACATTTTTCATTATTTGCTTATAAAAGTTTGAAAGTTCCAAATGTGATCAAGAGATTTTGTTTACATTAGGTCTTCCTCAACACTAAATCAGTCAAAACACGCGTTAGGCTCTGCCCACACTGTTAATCCTGCCCTGATTGGTGGTGTGAGGAAAGATGACTAAACAGCTAGTCAACAAAAACAGCTGAAACGGTGAAAAAACGTTATGACGGTGCTCAAGAAAAAGCTCAACCGACAAAAGTCATGCACTGTTTAAAACTCATTTGCTTGTTTTGGCTCATATTGTTGCGCTTGTATGTTTCAGCTGCCATATTCTCCTCTCCATTGTACACCCCCTGTCACTTACGAGGAAGGTTTCATCTAAATGGGATGCACAAAGCTGGAGATGTGGTGCTGGGGGGGATGTTTACAGTGCACTTATTTTCTGTTACCCCTGACCTGTCTTTTGACTCGGAGCCAGCGCAGCTTACATGCTATGGGTGAGTATGTTAGAGACATGACTAGCAAAAGAGACTGAGAAGGAAGTCTTATTCCTTAAATGCACTAAATGTGTGATGCTCAGTTATTTCTCAGTCTGAAAGCCTGTTCTCATTTAAAACGAATAGAATTCTTACTAAGGTCTAACAGAAACACGAATTTTAAACAGAAGCTCTCATGTGTTAGTTTTGACGTTCTAGGGTTACGACAGGCCCAGACCATGGCCTTTGCGATCGAAGAGATCAACAGAAACTCCAAGCTGCTACCCAACGTGACTCTGGGGTACAGCATGTATGATAACTGTCTGACTCTTGGAGTTGGACTTCGTGCAGCCCTGGCGCTGATCAGTGGCCAACAGGAGGAAATCATGTTAGAGGAGAATTGTGTAGGAAGCCCTCCAGTCTTGGGAATTGTTGGTGATTCTTCGTCTACACGTATTATTGCCATCTCATCTGTCTTAGGCTTGTTTAAAGTACCTATGGTAACTTATTTTACTCTTTGAGATTGTTTTCATGCCTGCTCTCATTTCTTCTCTGAAGATCTTCAGTAGCTGACAAGTTTTAAATATGTGTTTTATGCAGGTGAGTTATTTTGCAACGTGTTCATGTCTGAGTGACCACCAAAAGTATCCTTCCTTCTTCAGGACGATACCAAATGATGCTTTTCAGGTAAAAATACATTTGTACTTTTTTTTACTAGTAATGTTGCTTATAACAAAAAGCCTAAATAGCTTAATTGACAACAACTTGTTCATTTAAATTATTTTATTTAGTGCCGTTAACAACATGGATCAATGAGCTTTACTGACTAGATTCGTTTAAAATCGCCAGTGAGTCACATCTGAGCTTTACTACGGGAACAGGACACAAATATGAAGGGTGGCCTTTGATCTCTTCCCCTAGAACTTAGGCAGTCACGTTTTGGCTCAGCTGGAAAACTCAAAAGTTTCTCACTGATAACAGAGAATTACAGTATTCAACTTATAAAATCAAAAATGCACGTCTACATTTTTTTCTAAATCATTTTGAGTCAGGATGCTCATAAATTTGGCAAAGTAGATGGGAGACCTACTTAGATATTTTGTTTGATAGAGAACATATCTTGCTTCACAGTAACACCAACGTTTATTACATGCTTTTTCGCTCCTCATTCTTACTGTTCACTCAGGTGCGAGCAATGATTCAGATATTAAAGCACTTCGGTTGGACTTGGACAGGGCTGCTGATCAGTGATGATGACTACGGGCGCTATGCTGCCCAGTCCTTCCACACGGATCTGAGCCTGTCTGGTGAAGGATGTCTGGCTTATGTAGAGGTGCTGCCCTGGAACAGAGATTTACCTGAACTGAAGAGGATTGGTGATGTAATGAAGAAATCCACAGCTCGTGTGGTCATCGTCTTTGCACATGTGGGGCCGATGATTAATCTCATGGAAGAGGTTGGTCACTAGATGTATTGTGTGTGTGTGTGTGTGTGTGTGTGTGTGTGTGTGTGTGTGTGTGTGTGTGTGTGTGTGTGTGTGTGTGTGTGTGTGTGTGTGTGTGTGTGTGTGTGTGTGTGTGTGTGTGTGTGTGTGTGTGTTTTACAACAAAGATCGGGTGTTCCAATGAGATAACTCACAGCTGCTGTTAGATGTAAAAGCTTATAATCAAGGTATTAAAATAACTTGAAGAACAACATATTCTGCAATGTACCTTGAGTAACATCATTATTTAAAATGTGGTTGTTGTGACAACATGAGCAAATATTATGTAAGCAGGTGGTGAGGCAGAAGCTGACAGGCCTGCAGTGGTTGGCCAGTGAAGCCTGGTCCACAGCTGCTTTGCTTCAGACTCCTGAGCTCATGCCGTACCTGGGTGGTACCTTGGGCATTGCAGTTCGTCGAGGAGAAATACCAGGTCTCAGAAACGTCCTGTTGCAAACTTACCCTGATCTACATTACAATGACAGCAATGAAAATAACATGGTGAGGAACAACTTTGTAATGTTACATTTGACTTTTAAAAGTGAATAATAGTATGTTTTTAAAATTGTTACAGGTGAACCAGTTTTGGGAATTCACCTTTCAGTGCAGATTTGCACCACCTCCAGCAGGTTGGGTGGAGAACGGGGGAACATTATGCACCGGAGAAGAAGACTTACAGAGTGTGGAAACTGAGTTCTTGGACGTTTCTAACCTCAGGTCTGAGTACAATGTTTACAAGGCTGTGAATGCTCTGGCATACGCTCTTGATGATATGTTGAAGTGTGAGCCAGGAAGAGGGCCTTTCACTGAGAACAGCTGTGCCACTTTACAAACACTTCAGCCTTGGCAGGTATTGGAAATACTTTTTGATTAAATTCTGTCATTTATTGTTTCTATGTTTATGGTCGCATTTAATGCTTATATAAAAGGAAACTGTGTTTTTATAATATGTGTGTCTTTTTGGTCATGTTCTACATATTTCAATTGTCTCATTTGAATTCAATTAGCTTGTTTATTACCTGGAAAAGGTCAATTTCACCACATCATTTGGTGATCAGGTGTCGTTTGATAAGAATGGTGACGCTTTACCCATTTATGATGTTATGAACTGGATGTGGCTCCCTGATGGAAGAACAGAGGTACAAAATGTGGGAGATGTTAAAACGTCAGAATTTAATGGTGAAGAACTGAAGCTTCATGAAGACAAAATCTTCTGGAATTCTGATTCCAAAAAGGTAAATTTAAGTGTTTCTTCTTAATCCAAAGTCGTATGAATCCAGTATAAGTTGAAGTACTGCAAACTGTTTTTAGCCAACCAGGTCAGTTTGCAGTGAGAACTGCCCTCCAGGAACTCGCATGGTGAGAAAAAAGGGGGAACCTATTTGCTGTTTTGACTGCATTCCTTGTTCCGAGGGAAAGATCAGTAATAGCACCAGTAAGTATTCAGTGTAAAGTTTTGTGTTTTGCAATTCAGTTGATATTTTTTAAGTATATCTTTTCCCAGATTCTTTGGACTGCTTCAGTTGTCCAGAAGACTTCTGGTCCAGGCCCCAACATGACCAGTGTGTTCCCAAGAAAACAGAGTTTATGTCCTATGAGGAACCTCTGGGATTGTGTTTGACTGCTGCCTCGTTACTGGGGACATTTATCTGTGCTGTTGTTCTGGGGATATTCATCTATCACCGCAGTACTCCCATAGTCAAAGCCAACAACTCAGAAGTGAGTTTTCAGCTGCTGCTGTCACTCAAGTTATGTTTCCTGTGTTCGCTGCTGTTCATTGGACGACCCAGACTGTGGACATGCCAGCTGAGACATGCAGCCTTTGGGATCAGCTTTGTTCTTTGTGTTTCGTGCATCCTGGTTAAAACCATGGTGGTTCTGGCTGTGTTCAAGGCCTCCAAGCCAGGAGGTGGCGCCAGCCTTAAGTGGTTTGGTGTTTCACAGCAGAGAGGAACAGTTTTAGTTCTTACCTCAGTTCAAGCAGCAATCTGCACAGTTTGGCTTGTCTTATCCTCACCCATGCCCCATAAAAACACACAATACCACAATGACAAGATAGTTTATGAGTGTGCAATCGGCTCAGCTATTGGCTTTACTGTATTATTGGGCTACATTGGTTTTCTAGCTATCATTAGTTGTCTGATTGCATTCCTTGCGAGGGATCTTCCAGACAACTTCAATGAGGCCAAACTCATCACTTTCAGCATGCTGATCTTCTGTGCCGTGTGGGTGGCCTTTGTTCCTGCTTATATCAGCTCACCTGGTAAATATGCAGATGCAGTGGAGGTGTTTGCCATCCTGGCTTCCAGTTTTGGCATTTTGGTGTCTCTGTTTGGACCCAAATGTTACATAATCCTGCTGAAACCAGAGAGGAATACAAAGAAAGCCCTGATGGCCCGAGGCACCAAAGACACAGCATAAAATAAAAATTTAAATCAAGCAGAGCAAGACAAATGTATGGATGGGCACTTTTTTTTCATGCATCTTTTTCTAAAAATGCATCCCCATTCAAATCAATTTTGAAAGAACTCCACTGCTACTATTTGTTTTGTTTTCAAAATGGATTGTGGTTTATGAATTAACTTATATTTATGACCTCCAACTTATCAATGGTTAATGAAAGAAATTCACAAAATACTTTGGGCAATTGTCTTAATGTACCTGATAATTATTTTACCTGTATTAATTTGATATAAAAGCTAAACAGAAACCCTTTTATGGCTCTCATAAAAATCCAACTTCTCTGGCCCCACAAATGATCCTACTGTGAAGTTGTGTTGCAAAATGAACAGAAGATTTATTTTGTCCATTACAATGTGTTTATTTCCTCCCATTTGTCATCTATATTCATATTTTGTGACTCTAATTTGGTCTTAGCTTTGTGTGTGTGTGTGTGTGTGTGTGTGTGTGTGTGTGTGTGTGTGTGTGTGTGTGTGTGTGTGTGCGCGTGTGTGTGTGTGTGTGTGTGTGTGTGTGTGTGTGTGTGTGTGTGTGTGTTTTCTATTTGTCTGTGTCTGGTCTTGTAACGGACTGGAAGCATGTCATTACCATCACTTTCCTGAAAATCCTATGTAAATCGAGCTTAAGAGTTATACACTGGCTCTACGCAAACGGATTGAGAAATGAGTTGAATAGAAAATAAATCAAAGTGAGTGAGTGTTACTAATGTAATTCACCAAAAATTTAAAAAATGGTTTAACCATCAACAACTGGAAAAAACAACAAAGTAAAACTTTTGTTGCTCGTGTTCTTCTCAACTTTTTTAATTGATTTCCCACTAATGTAGGAATACTTTAGTCATTAAATGTGCAATATGTAAGAAGCACGTGAGGGTGACATCCTGTGGTCACATTTAGTTCTGCAGTCCATTTTTATAAATAAAAGGTGACCCTCTCACTACTGTTTTGTGAGTTTCATTTCTGTTATGGATCATCACCAGAAGATTATACATGACTAGCAAAGACGAGTCAATCACAGTAAGTTTAAAAGAAATGGAATACATTGTCATATCTGGTGTTAGCACTTTTGGGTGTTTTACGGTAGGGATCACTTACTACACTTATTACGGTAGTATGTCTCCGGCATTAAAGAAGTTTCCGTCTGTAGCGACATGAATGGCCTCATTTTGTGCCCCAAAGGTCACACTTCCCCAGCTAGGTCATGCTGTCCTGGCTGAACTTCTGTCCCACAGATTATCCATCATGGAAACCATCTTTAATCTGACTGCGTTTATCTGTCTGATGTTCCTCCGCAAGATGAAGGACACTTCAAGATTTAAAATAATCATTTTTAATAATTTCTTCATACTTTTTATTACGACGTTTATTATAATCATCATAAACAATCATCATGGTTCATTATAAATGTATTTAATTACTGAGGTGACTTATTATTCTTTGGTTATAATAATTATTGTTTATGATAATCAGCAATGTTTGACAATGTGAAGAAGGTCATTTGCACGTGTACACACCATGCAGAGGGGGCTGAATTCAGGGTAAAGGTAACCACCTCACATGTCTTTGCTCCATAACAACAAGCTTTCTGACTCTGAGAGGGCGTGTTCTGAGGTTTTGTTAAAACCAAAAACTCTTCAGTTCAATTTCAGTTCTTGAACCAACCAGATACTCTCATGGCAACAAGAGTACCAGAGGACGAGGGTCGGCCGCCCAAAGCCTCACTAAGCTGTTCTGTCACGCCGATAGAATTGCTCCAAATTCTAAATTGACATTTTCAAATTGTCATCTTTAAATTGTTAGTAATAAATTCTTAACTTTTTGAACCTGACTCTTCTTTGAAACGAAACACAGAATGGTGTATATTTGGTTATTGAATAAGCAAAGATTCCTTTAAGCTTCTGATTCAATGATAACTTTTGCTATTAATTTAAATATCTTAAATTAAAAATTAATCTTTGGATTAAATATAGACTAAGCCGTTGGTGTATGAACTTCTATCGATTGTATAAATATCCTGGATATTTATGCATGATATAAGTTCATATGCTAATTTGTCTGATCTTTCTCAGGATCTAACAAAGCTAATAGCAAACAGCGTTAAATCCTAGTATGTAGATTGTCTCTTGCTGTTATAGTTCTGAACAACTCATTAAATAAAGTAAAATGCCACAATTAACTTATTATTCACTTCACTCATACATTTCACAGTAATATCAAGTTGATGGTAACTGAAAAAGTAGCTAGATATATTTTTAGAGCCTACTATTTAATGTCATTGTTGACACTGTTAGCTCAACATTAGCCTCTAGCCTCCCTCACTTGGTATTAGAGTAAAACAAAAAGATGCTGTGGCTATTTAGGAGTACAAAAAATAACATCTGGGGCATTTCCCGTTTATTGGCTTCACTTTTTTTTTAACAACTCTTGAGCTTTTTGTGGACCAGGTTCAAATTACAAATGTCGACGCTACGGCGTTAGCTGGGTACAGACTCTGCAACCTCGCAGCTAGGCTCAGAGTGTCAACAATGTCATTGTCCCTCTTAGTTTTAATGAAGGCACAAAAGTGCCCACCAGCCGGCTGGGAAGGAAATCTGTTTCAATGTAACCATCCTTCCAACATGATTGAGACATCAGACTGTTTAGTTATTGTTTCATGTAAAAGTCTTACGTATTGCTCATTTAAGGAATAATTGTTTGATCTTCTTACTGTTATGTTTTAGAGCCAAAAGCAAAAGTTTGAAAAATGTAATTGATCTGGAAGTTTAATACTTTTTTACTGATTTCAAATGGGTATGAAAGTCAGCGTCACTAAAGAGAGATTAAGGCCCTGTCCACACGTAGCCGGGGATCTGCCAAAACGTAGATATTTTTCTACGTTTTGGCCTGTCATCCACACGAAAACGGAGTTTTTTCACACGAAAACGGATCTTTTTAAAAACTCCGGCCAAAGTGAAGATCTGCGTTTTCTCCGTTTTGGGTGTCTGCGTGTGGACGGACAAAACCGGAGTTTTAAGGTCCGCAACGTCACTTTCCACGACAAAAAAATGCTGACATCACGTGTGCGACCTGTGTTTACACTAGCCGACAGCATGGATGCCCTCAGAGCTGCGCTCGTTTTATCAACTGTCCAAGCGCTTTCTGCTTGTTTGTTTTTGCAAACGGAATTACTGCTCCTTGCGGAAGACAACAGACGAAGGACGAGGTTAAGAACGGGGGAAGTACTGCCGCCTACAGGTCTGGCATGTCCTTAACGTATTTATCCGGGTACGTGTGGACAGAGTTTGTTTTTAAAACGCGGTGGTGTGGATGCAAGTTTTTGGAGGGGCGGATATTCGTTTTCAAAAAACCCCGGCTACGTGTGGACTAGGCCTGAGTTTTATTCGAAAAATAAATCTGTTTCATGACTTAAACACGAAAACAAAATTATATTTTTTCTGTGCTAAATAGTTCCTAATATGATCTTTGAGAAATGTTGTTTACATTAGTTTTACCTCAAGCCTAAATCAGTTCTAAACACATTTTAGGCCCTGCCCACACAGTTATTTCTTCCCTGATTGGTGGTATGACTGAGGGGAAACATACTAAACACCAAGTCAACAAGAAGAATTGACACAGTGAAAACATTATGACTGTGCTCAAGAAAGAGCTGAACTAGACAAAGGCCATGCAGCTTTTTGAACTAATTTGCTTGTTTTTGCTCATGTTGTATTATATGTATGTTTCCACTGCTGCATCCTCCTCTCCATCTTTGAACTCTTGTCATGGAAGGTTTCATCTAAATGGGATGCATAAGGCTGGGGATGTGGTGGTGGGGGGTATTTTTCAAGTCCACTTCTTTTCTGTTTCTCCTGACTTGTCTTTTGTCTCTGAGCCAGAACAACTTCGCTGCTATGGGTGAGTATGCTAAGAACATGGAAAGCAAATAAGACCGGGAAGGAAGAATGCTTTAATAAAATAAACTGATGTGGTAATCAGAGATTTCTCCATCAGCATGTTGGTATAATGAAAAACGCATTCATTGATGTCCCGCTGTCATTTATTGAGTGTGAGTTTACCACAGCCTAAAAGTTTCATATATTTTCTTGGATTTAACAGAAGCTTTTTTTTTTGTTAGTTTTGATGTTCTAGGGTTACGACAGGCCCACACCATGGCCTTTGCTATTGATGAGATCAACAGAAACTCTAAGCTGCTACCCAACGTGACTCTGGGGTACAGCTTGTATGATAACTGTCTCACTCTTGGAGTTGGATTTCGTTCTGCTCTGGCGCTGATCAGTGGTCAACAGGAGCAAATTGTGGTAGGAAAGATCTGTGGAAGCCCATCAGTCTTGGGAATCGTGGGAGATTCTTCTTCTAGACATAACATTGCCATTTCATCTGTCTTATCCTTGTACAGGGTACCTATAGTAAGTGTTCAGTGTATCTATCTTGTACTTCTCTTTAAGCATGTTGGCTTTACTTCAGCTCTCATGACCTTGAGCTGCTGACCAGACATTTACTCTGTTTGTGTTTCCTGCAGGTGAGTTATTTCGCCACATGTTCGTGCCTGAGTGATCGTCAAATGTTTCCTTCCTTCTTCAGGACAATACCAAGTGATGCTTTTCAGGTTAAAAAAAATCTGTTTTACTAGTGATGTTGTTAAAGATGATAAAAAAACAGACATGGGCAGGATTACCAAAGCCTGGATAATGTCCAAACCTGGTCCTCAGGGGCCGTGATTCCGCATATTTTAAACGTTTTTCTGCTTTGGCTTTAATAAGTAGATTATTAACAGGCTCCTGTAGAGCTTGAAGAAATGTTGAACAGGTAATTTAACTAATCAATCAGTAGTGCTGAAGCAGGAAAATGACTAAAATATGCTGAATTGGGGCCCTCGAGGACCAGGGATGCACATCCCTGATCTAAGCTAACCTCAACCATAAGAAATATTACCAAGAAAGTCTGAAGCCTGGTTTTAAACATGAACCTGAATACTGCTTTCATGTTCAGTCTGCGTGTTAAACTCAGAGTGACTGATTATAATCAGATAAAAAAAAAAATTTTCAGTGAACCATACCTTTAAGCAGTGTTGGAAAAGTTTGTTTAAAAAATGAACTAGTTCAAAGTTCAGTTCATACATTTTAAAACGAACTAGTTTGTTTCTTAGTTCATAATTTAAAAAATATTGAACTAAATTCACTGTTCCAAAAATGAACTAGTTCATAGTTATTTTGAATTTTTCTAGTCCATATAGACCAGCGATCAACGGGCAATCAGGAGGGGTACACCCTGGACAGAGAGCCAGTCCATCGCAGGGCAACACAGAGACACACATGACAAACAATCATGCACACACACACTCACACCTAAGGACAATTTAGAGTCCTTTAGACAGACCAATCAACCTAACAGTCATGTTTTTGGACTGTGGGAGGAAGC